AGTCAATTCTGACCCATAGCGACCCTGTACGTGGTTTCCGAGGAGCAGCGGGTGAGCTTGAACTGCCGACCCTGTGGTTAAAACCGACTTTGGCGTCCAGTGCATTAACCCACAATGCCACAATAGGACTCCACAGACATTTTTACAGGCAGAGAAATTGGGGCTTTGGGGGGTCAATTTGCTCAACTTTCTGTACCTAAAGAGTAGCAGAGTCAAGATGGAAAACCAAGTCTTCGAAGAAATGTTCACACATTTAAGACAAAGGCTTACTATGTGGGCCTTTTATATCTCTCATCAATATTTAGTAATGCTGTCATGACTAACAGAACTCAGAATTTACATAAAACTCCTTATGAAAATTATGAAATGCAATTTTCATAAAAGGCATTGAGTTCAAGTAATTTACAGATTTATTTGAACCCTCCCAGTTGACCTGATAGGGGCTAGCACACTGTGAGCTGTTAATTTATTTAGTCTGAGAAATACATACTCTTCACTCAGGAAATCAAAGGCTTTGGATTTATCTCCTGGGAGTTGAGACAAGGTACTGCTTCTTTTCTTGACCGAAGGAGTAACATGAGAGGTCGGCGCATTATACTTCAGGTTCACGGGTGGTTCGGGCTTCTTAGTAGTATTGCTTGAGGAGCTGAAAAGTCGGCTGAAACTAATATTTAAGGACAACGATGATATTGTTAAGTACAAACACAAAACACACACACACACAACACATGCATTGTGAAGAATAATCCTTGATTTTCTACAAATGTTTTTATGCTCAAGAAAAATCCATAGTGCTTTGACAAGGCAATAAGTTAGAAACTAGCAAAAACCAGTTGCACTCTGCAGCCTTCAGCAATAACTCAAAGCCAAGCTCAGACTTTCAAGGTCAAGAAATGCTAGCTTAGAGAAGTGGATCCCTGGCTCTTTAGTTGAACATTTGCCGGTCTTGAGTCCAGAGGATTTCCTCTGCTGAGGAGGGAGATAAGTGGGTTCCTTTAGCTAGTTTCTACTTGATACAATGTAAGAGTGGTTGTTAAATAGCAAAGTTACAGCTCCATGATTTGAAAGGCTCAGCATACCACTTCTAAAACTAGTCTTATAGTAAACTACTAGACTACATATCATACCACTTTAGTACACAACTTCTGATTAAGCACAATTTAAATAAACTATTTCACATCTAGTTTTTTGTTGTTGTTGTTGTTTTTAAATTAACCCTTCAGTTAAATAGCAGATTAACCAAAAAAAGAAGTAAATTTTAAGCACAGAAAACACACAGCACTTCTGGTGTGAACATAATGCCAAGTCAGTCACACACCCTTAAACCCCACAAACACTAAATTTCTCCTCACTTTTCAGATTTCTTTACAATCACAAAACCAATAAATCAACATGAAATTAATGGAGATTCAAGTAAATATCAATTTTATAAATAATGTCCTTTATTTTATTAAGCAGAAGACTCAAACGCACAACCAACACGATGCTGCTTACAATAGCATATTTTTTGTCCTCAAGAGTAGCCTTACCGAGTTGGCACACTACGTAGTAAAAAGGAAAATTTCAGTTTAGCTATTTATCCCACATTAAAAATAATAATAATAATCACATGATATTACTCTTGAAAATAAATTTTGATTGTAATCTTGTCTTAAAATGTAACGACCTTATTTGTTTTAGCCTTTATCTAGTAATTTTTTTTGTTATTGAAAAATATATACAGCAGTTACATACACTAATTCAAGATTCTGCATGTTTTTATTTGTTTTGATATACTTACAACTGCCAAATGCTTGATCTTTTTTTTTCCTGCATGGCAGGATTTTCTCTTGATGCTCTACATGAAAAAGAAGGAAAAAGGTGGAGGGTACAAATTATATATGAGGTAATCTAGTTTGCTCTGTAATGAGAACAAGGAATATCCCAACAAGTTTACAGAAATATGCAGGGGAGAATCAACAATTAAGTTCAGTAAATAGTTACTTTGGAAACTAGTAATCCTAAGATAAAGAAATAACATCCCCTCTTCTTCAAGGATTTCAAAGGCTACTGAGGCAGACAAGATTGTTATCTGTGTTGGACACACAACATGAGTATTCATATTTAAATTATTTTACTGAGAAGAGTGCCTGGAAATCTTCAAAATGTTGCTTTGTAAATCCTGTCCTCACATGATAAATTTGTCTCTATCATTCTGTATTCTTGACTTACACTGAACTGCTTGTGACTTTACGGATCTGCTGGGTCAGTTCACAAGACTAACACTTTTCCATCAGTGAAAAGATGACCAAGAACAGGAAGCGCTAGGCTGTTCCAGAAAATAAGACACATTCCAAGTTGATTACTAAAAGATTCTGCCATCACTATCAGCAGCCCCTGTTCACTTCTTTACTTAAAAAAATAAAAAAAAACTAAATTAAAAACATGTTTTAATTCAACGCAAAAGGCAAGCTACCATTTCCTTTCACACATTACCAGCTGACTGCTAGAATTAAAAATAGCAATGAGAAATGAATCCCACCTCTGTGGCTGCAATTTTTAAATAGTGATTCATTAGTTATTTTATTTATGTATTTAATACTTTATTAAATGGTTAAAGATTTACTTCTTTAATTCATTAAATGTTAGAGTTAAGAACAAACCTCATAGTGTTTCCTTGCTCAATACATTGATTACTGATCTCCTTCTTAGCAGCTACAATGATATTTTTTTTGCGGCTGTTAAACGCTGCCAAGTAACGACCTTGTATAGGGTTTCCGAGGAGCAGCTGGTGGGCTTGAACTGCCAACCTTATGGTTTACAGTCCAGTGCTATAGCATTGATAAAGAATATATAAATAGGTGATGTAATCATATGGAGGTGAAAGTTAGTGGTTAGAAAATGTACATTAACGTAAAAACAATGTGCCATTATGTACTGTTATTGGTAAATTTGATGTGACAATCCAAACTTGAAGGGGGACAAATTATTTATAAACTTTTTATTGGCTCTGGTGGCGCTGTAGGATAAGCGCTGGGCTGCTCGCTACAAGGCTGACAGTTCAAAACCCACCAGCTGTTAGGAGAAAAGATGAGGCTTTCTGCTTCCATAAAGATTTAAGTCTCAGAAATCTTACACAGGGTGGCTATGAGTCGGAATCAACTCAGTGGCAGTGGGTTTTGCTTTGGTTTTCTTAAATCAAGTAAGGGGCACGGTCATTGAATACTGGCCATTAGGGGGCAGTATGCATTCAGATTCAGTTGACTGAAAGATACCAATGTTGTTAAGCAAACAGATCTTGCAGTCCAGCAGACTATCCTGTAACACCACGTCAATAGAAAGGGAAAACAGCAGAATCAGCATGGGACTGTGAGCCACTATGTAAGCAGGTCACACCCAACAGCTGCTCCTTGGTTGCTCAGGGACTCTTTTAAGTCGGAACTGACTCAATAGCACTTAACAACAATGAATTTCACAGGAATACACTAAATAAAAATTTTGTTCCTTATGTAGCATAGGAGTCCTGGTGTGGCACTGTAGGATAAGCACTAAACCACAGGTTGGTTTGAACCACAAGGTCAACAGTTCAAAACCACCAGCTGTTCGCTCCTGAGAAACCTTATACAGATTCGCTGAATCAGAACCAACTCAATGGCACTAAACAATACACAACGAAAACACGCAGCGTAAGAAATTTTGTTATTTTCCTGACTTTACTGCTAAAACTCTACATTCTTTTAAAAAATGCTTATCATTCCTAAATAATAAAAATTGCTTTTTAGAGATCATTGGAAACTTCTTCTCCAAGAGCCGCTAGTGGCCCCAAGAACACCATGTTGATCATACTCTGTCTTTAATTTTCCGGTATTACTCTCTAGTAAGTTCTGGTAGCGTAGCGGTTACAAATTGGGCTGCGAACCGCAAGCTCAGCAGTTCGAAACTACCAGCTGTTCTGTGGGAGAAAGATGAGGCTTTCTGCTCCCGTAAAGATTTACAGCCTCAGAAACCCTGTGCAGGGTCGCTATGAGTTGGAACCAACTCCACAGCACATAACAACAACAAAGCAGAGCACGGGGACTGGATTCTGCAGCAAGATTCCAGTTCTCAAGGAAGAACATTCAGCCTAGAAAACACCGCAAAAACACCAGAGCACATCTCATACCGAATCATCTCTGTCCACCGAACTGCTTCCTGAAGCTCCATCAGTCTCTCTTTATATTGGTTTCGCTCCATTAGAACGCGGGCCATTTCTACTCTAGTAAACCGCTTCCTCTGCGCTGTGGGAATGTCACTCTACAACAAAGAGATTACCGATCATCCTGGGAGCCTACGGCTGGTTTTGGTTGGTGCTAATCTCCGACTTAAAACAGAATTTTTAAGCATTTAAACATTCCCTAACTTGCAATCACTTCAAGAAAATGGCCTTTTCAAAGTAAAATCAATAAAATACAAACTTTAAAAATTACTTATGACTGAAAGGATAAAAAGTAGACAGTTTAATTTCTGAAGGTAAACACAGACATTTAAACATACTATATAAAAGAATTATAAAGAACAGTGTAGATTTTGAACAAAACCCAAAAAGCTTTGTTCTATATTGATTTAATATGCTATTACAAGCATCACCTAGAAATGCTGCTCTAACATTATTTTAAATTCATGTTATATAATAATTTTAATTCATTCATAACAGTTGTATTCCTAAAAAGGTTCATTTATCTCAAACTACCAATCCAAATCTACAACAAAGGCAAGTGTACATAGCAAACCCACTGGCTAGTTACCAAAGTACCCAATGTAATAGACATTAAAACACCAACAGAAACAAAACAAGAGGGAGACAACTGTATTAGCCAGAAGTATTTTTAGGAAGAATGAGAGATATTAGTTTGGAGTAAGGATAAAGGTAAGATCCCAAAAGGGAATGCAATGCTCAAGTCAACATCCTTCCCCTGATTTTAAACCCTCTTCTGGAAAGTCAGGGTGGTTTAACTGAGAAGATTTTGTTTTGCTGAGTGTACACATCTGGGGCTAAAGCTGAAAGACTTAGAGGCTGAGCTGAGCCCTTAGCAGTCCTCCCTGCTCTGCAGACCTGTCACTGAACTTGCCTGCTCCTTTAAATAAATGTCAAACAAATGAGGATAGGACCTGGGTTTGCAAGTAGGAACATATCCTAAAAAACTCTGGCTAGGGTATGTACCCAGAGCGTCAGGACGCCTATACAGCATTGTTTGTGGGAGCAAAATAACTGAAAATAGCCTACACATTCAGTAACAGGAAAACAGATACATAAAATGGAGTACTTTAATGTAAAGGCTAATAAAGTAGTAAAGATGCATGAACTACAGAAATTTAACACTCATGAATCTTAAAAACATGAGACTGAGTAGAATAAGCAAATCTCTAAGACTAAATATAACTTGTTCACTCAGAAACAAGGGAAACAAAACCATGCTTTATAGGGATATATACATGGCATAAAAACATTATTATTTATTAAAAGTAAGGAAAAGGTAAGACAGGATAGTGTTTTCCGATGGAAGGGAAGAACAATGCTTGGTAATGTTCTAGGGCTCAGGCTAAGTAGTAGATTCACAGACGTTCATTTATTATGATTCAAAACTTATATATGCCACACACATTTTATTAGGTATATATACTATATTAAAGACATGTACGAGGTTAAGAAGACAACAAATGATTATCTCAGATGTAGGCCTTGACCTGAAACTCTTGTTGTGGGAATGATCTAGTTATCAGCAGAGTTACTAGTAGACTAATAATACAACATTTGCATTATATATGTGGACAACAATAAAGGTTAATTGAAGTTCTAGACTTCATACCATTAAGCACTCATATTCAATTTCCTTATTTCTTACTCAAAACTAGAAACAAAACCAACAGTAACCACAACACTCCCCATGCAGAACACAAGGGTGGTTGGCCGAAAACGCACACACAGCGTTGTTGATAAAAAGTTCATCAATTCATGACTATAAAAACACATCTTCTGACATTTTTATGTCTATACTGCTATATCTGATGTTTAATTAACAAACAGTTTACTGAATAAGGCAAGGGAAAAAGTATGAAACTGTATACCTACATCATCATCATCTTTTGCTTTTTGCCTTGCATCTTCAGCTTCTGCACGAGCTCTAATGGGGGAAAAGAAATATGTTATTTGGATTGGTTTTATCTTATCAGACACTGTAAGAGCAGTTGAACAATTTTCATGGAAAAGGGTTATTTCTTTTCTTTTTCTAAAACACAGCACTTACCTGCTTTTCTTTAGGGAAATTATTATTTGTTACAGCGCTATTTTCAGAAAAATGCCAGCTATAAAAAAAAAAGCTGGATGATGGAAAATTATCATGTTTCTAACTTCCCTGTCACCAAAATGAAGATATTTGAATAGTTATCACTTCCTTCATCCTGTGGCAGACACAAACAATGAATGATACACTAGAAATAAGAGGGGTTTCGTTTCAGCAGCAGAGGCACCTCATCCTCCTGCAAGAAGCTCTTGGCCCCTTCCTGGCTTGAAAAGACATAAACTTTCAATCTCAGTGTTACTAACACCTGGATATACCTTGTGTGGCACAGTGGCAAAGATCGGCTGCTGTAGAACACAGTCCAACTTACTTCCTAAGCTCTTCCTCCAGTTCTTTGTTCTTTTCCTCTAGCTTCAGTTTGGCTTGTTTCACAGCCTCCAGTTCCCCTTGTAGCACATCTTTCTCACAGGTCAGTTCATCTACTTTTGCTATCAAATCATTCTTCACCACATTCAAAGCATTTCTAAGAAACACAGATTTCAAAAGTGCATCATTACAAATAAACACTCTTTCCATTGTTCAGCTTATTCTTTTGTAGGCTACAGCAATTATTTAATTATAGAGTTGAATAGCTGAATACTTGGAGACATTACTAGCAAAGATGAAAGGAACACAAAGCAATAGCTGAATTTTTTTTTTCTCTTCCCACGTATCAAAGCAAGAACAGATTTTAAAACAAACAAATGGAGAAAGTAATGCAGGCCACCAACTAAGAGTCAGACTTAAGGAAGATTACAATATAAACATTTTTAAAAACAGCATTCCTGAGAGTATTGTTAATAAATTCTGAAGAGCTATTGTGCAACCAGTAAAGTAAAATTACTCTTTGAGGTCACCTTTAGTAATTAATGAGAAAAAAGTAAATAAACTGGAAAGAAGAAAACTGTGATTGAGCTCCTTTTGGGTATAGTCTACATCAGACCTCAGTATAGCTACATTTTGTCTTGAATATACACAGATGTTCCAAAGTTGATGTGACACAGAAAACTGACAAAGGGACCCAGCCTGCTTTCCAGTATGAATCAGAGTATGTCCCACAAGAAGATATACCATAGACTCTATATGCTTGAAAGCCTGAGACCCCACAAATTGTGCTGGAAAACCTACAACCAGGGAGACAGCTGTGAAGAGGTGGGGTGGGTATGTACCCAAACATCTGGACTGATGTAACAGAATCCCAGGAGAAGAGGTAAGAAAATACACAAATTCCAGGGGTGGTAGCATGAAAATATAAGACAGAAGACATGAATATTTGTAGAGTGGCAAGGAGATGCAAATCTCTGTTTCTGCAGAAGACAAAGACTATGGTAAAATTCAAGTCCCAGTCCTTATTTCTGTGTGTGCATTCACACATGTAAATAAATGCACGCAAGCATGCAATGGGACAGAGGAAGGAGGCTACACACAAACGCGGTGCTAAATGGAGAAAGTGTCACTGACTTTGGCATCTTTTGGTCCTTGTTATAATATTATATATACTTACTTGGTTTCCAACAGTTGTGTATTTTCTAATATAAGATTCTCAACTTCACGACCCATTCCTGTCAAAATAAAAGGGATACTTTGAAAACAAATTTATTTTATAAGTTTTATCTGTCCTGTAATAGTCTATTTTGTCTAACTTTATTTGACATATTCACTTGTGTGGATTTTAAAATTATAAATAATTATCCATCACAAAACAAAGCTAAAGATTTTGCTGGCTAATTCGTTAAGATTGCTAGTCTATACTTCATTTTTTGTGTGAATAATATTTATCTTCTGCCAAATATTTAAACAAAAATGATTATTAAGGAAAAAATATGATTGATGTGAATCAGAAGTTGTTTTCAAATTATCACTGGTATTAGGCTTCTCCCTAAAAGTTGGATCTTATTAATAGAAAATGGGCACAAAAAAGGGGCAAAGAAAGCCCAAACCCCAAAGCACATGAAACCTTACCAAAGAAATTATGGTCTTAAAGCCCATGCATTCCATGTAAAGCAAAAACAAAGAACAAGAAATGTTTTATGTAAGAAACAGCATGAAAATAGATTATTCATCTGTAAACTTTATGCATGATATGGAGAACATCTGGATTCCCAGTGTTGTGACTTAATGCAGAACAATGTGCAAAAGACAGAAATAAAGATGATTCTCTTCATTCATAGCCATGATGAGCTAGGTTACGCCTAAAAAAATACTGTTTCACCAGTTCTTTTCCACAATAAAATTGAATATGACTAGACGGAAAATTCCAAATCAATAAGGCATCATTTCCTTAAATGGATCACCTAGGAAATGGTAATGTTCAGTCATCATTTTATAGAATCGTGTCTTAACATTTCAATGAGCACTGTATAAGGCAGGCGTGTCAAGCACTCAATGCAATAATGTGACCTTCAGGGAGAAGAAAGCCATTCAACTTGCTGCTCATAAGACAACTACTCCTAAGAAATGAAACAATATGCTAGGATATTGATCTCACAAAGTTCAAAAATAAATAACACTACTATCACTTATTCCAAGAAGTTGAGAATTAATGTTAGAATAGAATATATGATATTCCAAACAGAAAGGTAATATTTTTAAAGAAAACTACACAAGAAAAAGGAGTTAACATGGCTCCTTTAACAAAAAAAAATAGAAAAGAAAAAAAAAAAAAAAGCATAAACAACTTAAGTTTAAAACAAAATCACCCCAAGAATGCTAAAAACTCCATGTTCTTGTACAGACCCATATTTTGTCTTTGCCAAATATCCTCGAAGATCTGAATACTTCTACCATGAAGAATTTACATACCAGAAATAAAAGCTTATTTAATCATTTATGGAAAAACTGAAAATAAAGACAAACTGAAAAAGTTTCCAATTTTCAATTTCAAAATGAATTTTGGTAAGATATGTCCAAATATTCGTGTTAAACATTGAAAGGAGCTCTGGCAGCATAGTCGTTACAAATTGGGCTGTGAAACGCAAGATCAGCAGTTTGAAACTACCAGCTGTTCCGTGGGAGAAAGATGAGGCTTTCTGCTCCTGTTAAGATTTACAGTCTCGGAAACCCTGTACAGGGTTGCTATGAGTCAGAACTGACTCCGCGGCACATAACCACCATAGACATAGAAGAAGTAGGGTTTAAACTGGTCAAAAATAGTTCATCTAATAACTGTTTGCTAAAGATTTTCAAGCACACAGGTAAATAAGCATAAAAACTGAGACTATATGCAGGACAAAAAAAATATATCGTTGAGCAGAAAAAATGGTGAGAAAGCATCAAATGAAAACAGCAGGCATGACCACCTTGCTTGAAAAGCAGTAATATGAAAGTATTTAAAAGCATACACACCAGAATATTCCCCTAGGGAAGCAGCCCAAGAGAAAAATGAATGAGAATCTTAATTAGATTGTTTTCAGAAAGCAAGAGCTAAACTCATTTATTTTTAAATGAGAGAGGAGACAAAGAAACTGAAAAGATGTAGAGAAACCATTAACTATTAAGTATAAATATTACAAATAGAAAAATGAAATATGTACTCTAAGAGAAACATATCCTTAAGGTGTATTTTCTAAAGTTTACATTTATAAATTCCAATTACTCATTCTCTTAAATCTTAAGTTATAGATTTAATATATGATGAAAAGATTATCAAAATGATTTTGAAATGCATCAATAAAAACTAATTCATTATAAGAAAAATACAACTTGAAATGCCTCCATTTCTTTCCAAGGATAAGCATAAACTTAGGTCTAATATATATGAAAACTTTACCTATTAAAAACAAAAAAACATCTGATAGTTTTAAAAATCCTATCAGTGTTAATCTGGATTTTTAGCAGTAATTTTTTACCTAGATCTATAGATAAACTTCAGAGTTATATGGTGACCCCTTATACGTAAGACTGTACACATAATTTTTGCCTAGTTCTGTGTGTACATTTTTCCAAAAGTACCCCGCTCTCTTAAATATTCATCTGTGAAGGATTTTCAACCCATGAAAGTGAAGAATCATAGATTTAGAGGTGAAACCAAACTATTAAAACTATTTAGAAGTCCATTCACTTAGTCATTGTGCAATGTGCTCAAGAGTCAACAGTGAGGAAGAAGAGTACGGTCATCTTGGCCTCACTGAGCTTACAGTTTATCCAGGGAGACAGACACTTAAACAATTAGAATAAGGTGTGAAATATGGCATAATAGGTAACTGCAATTCCACAGAAAAATATTTCAGGGACAATTAAGCTTTACTTAAGAAATTCAAGACAGAATTCCTACAGGACTTGTCATTTAAGGGGATGCAAGAAAAGTAAATGTCTATTTAGGAGGAGGAGCAAAACCTCAGGATTGGTTAAGGGAAACAGGAGAGGTTCAAGATAGAGAACTTGATAAGGCCACTCAGTAACCAAGACAGACAACAATGAACTGATATCAAGCGATGAACTGATATCAAGCGCTCAGACTTCTCTTCAATTGCCATTGAGATGACTTTGACACATGTTGGTCCTCGTGTGTTGTAGAGTATAATTGCACTCTACAGAGTTTTCAAGACTGTAATCTTTCAGAAGTAAATTGCTGGAACTTTCATCTGAAGTACCCTCTGTGTGGGTTTGAATGCCAAGTTTTTGCTTAGTAGTTAAGCACTCAACCATGTATGTCATCCAAGGACTCCATGTCAAATGTAAAGCCTATAAGTTATCTTAGACATATCAGTTTGGAAAAAAAAGAGTCTCAGGCTCTAGAAAAATAGCTGGGATAATCAGCCATGAAAGCCAAGAATCAATGTGAGTGGCTAAGATTTTCCAAACAAAGAAGTGACGTTGGAGAGGAGGCATGGAACACAGTATCTAAAAGGAAGAGGAGCTACAAAAAAAGATAAAAAGGAAACAGTCAAACAAGCAGGGAAGGATACAGGCAAGTCTGATATCAGAGAAATTCCACAAAGATAGTTTTAAAGACAAATGCTATTGTGAAGGCATGTGAAATAACATGGATATCACAAACCAGAAGACTGCTGAAGACAAGGATAGCAAGAGCAATTTCCGGCAGAAGTGACTGAGGGGGAGAATACCAGGCCACACTGGGATGAGGTGTAAGTGGGACCAGGGAAATTCTGCTGATTAAAGTAGTCACCATTTCAAGGAGTCTATTTTGCCTGTTATGTATTGTAAGCACCTGAAAGAGTAGCTAGGATTTACAGACACTTCATCAATCTTGTTACATAAAAGGATGCCTAGAAATAGAAAGCGAGTGATAGGGTAGTAGGTAGAAAAGATACAGGGTGAGAGGGGGGCATTATTTTTCATCTTTGTATGAAAAAGACCTGCACAAGTTTAAATGATAATGGGAAGATTCTAGTAAAGATACTGAAATGGAAAATATAGAAGATAATCAGAAGAAATACAACATCAAAGAGTATGATGTATGAATGTTTGACTTCCCAGTTTTAGAATGTGGCCTGGAGTGGGGGTGGGGAGTGGGGTGCTTGAGGAAAGTGATTGGAGAAAAGAGACACTGAAAGCAAGAAAGTCAAAAGATGTCAATAAAGAAAAAGGATAAACTGATGGTGTTGTCTGTCTCTTTTCAAATTATTGCAATCAGAAAAGGTAATATAAGCATCGAGCACATAAATAATGACTTAACGAAATTTGTATCTTAGAATAATAGAAGAGTTAGATAATGATAGGGCTATGTACTACTTATTGATCAACCCCAGGTCAGTTCAAGAACTTTGGGAAAAAGTTTTCTAATTTGACTACAGTCCATTTAATTAGTCCAACTACTAACAGAGAACTGTACAGAAGAGAAGCCAAGGAACAAATCAGTGCCTTAGAAACGTCAGCTACTATTTTTGACCCAAAAGCAGTCATGTAGACACAAGTCATACTGTATGTACAATATACAGTAGTATATTAAAATCTTCTAATCTGGCACATTCTAGAGATAAATATAAAATGGAGAGGTCAGTAGTTTATAGTTTAATTCTTATCTTTAAAATGGCAAGAAAACCAAAATATCAGGATTCTGCTTTTAAATATATTTAATTTTCTGAGTTGAAGACTAAAAGCTTTTAGAAGAGATTTGACTTAAAAGATCATTAACTATTTCTAAATGCTATATGGTTTCTGAACTCTTTCTACGAAAAGAAGGTTTAGGATCAACAACCTCAAAAACTGTATTATTTCATGCTGGATCATAAAGTAGTGGGGCATACAAAGCACACTTCCTTCATTCTGTTGATTACATAGCATGTGGAATTTGGGGGGGGGTAAATATTAATTCTAGTGGTATTTGTCAAAACTGTACACCAAAAAAAGGTGAATTTTACTATATGCAAATTTAAAAATAAATGTTGAAAATTTTAAATTCTTCTTTCTTACATCAGCCACTCAATTTTATTAGGCTATCCCTCACCAACTGATACTAGTTTCTTAAACTAATCAAATCTTAGAAGGAACTTGTATAACTTGATGTTAACTAGAATAAAAAGTGCAAACTTAAATGTAAAAATAAAACATTCATTTAAGAATTCACCTTTTTTAGCCTTCCTTGCAAAATGCCACTCGAACATTTTACTTAGACTTTAATGGTGACAATACTTTATATTTAACCTAGAAAACTTTCACTTACTTTCAGTCTTGCTTACTAGACTGTGAGCTCAACTGGGACAAAACTTATGTTTTCTTAAAAAAAAATAGTCCTCAGTGCTGAGGACACAGCTGGAAATCAAGACATTCAACATAAACTAATGCAAGCAATGTCGTAAGAATAGCACCTTTTGAGAACAGTGTAGTCTGGATTAAAATTATACAGATACAAAATATTTTTTGGAGACCAGTATCCAAAAACCTATTTCAAAGATAAAAATTTTGGCTTCTATCAGGTTTCTGATTTTTATAAGATCTTGAAAATAAGTCAAAGAAAGGTGCACCACAGCTAACTCTGAGTCAGAACTATGTAACTGATACTGAAAGGAGCTTTAAAGATTCCTCAGAGTAGAAGTTGACAAATATTTTCTATAAAGAGCCAGACAATAAATATTTTAGGTGCAAGCCATCTCTACTATACACTATACAACAGTGCCAGACATTGACAATGAGTGAACAAATAGGTGTGACTGCGTTCTAATAAAACTTTATTTACAAAAACAGGTAGTGAATTGGATTTGGCCCAAAGACTGCAGTTTGGCAATCCCTGAACTAGAGGCCAGCTTCTTAAAAGAAATTAAGCTATTTGGCAAAGGTCATCAGATTGAGAGTGGAAGAGCCAAATGCAGTCTTCTTTTCAAATCATGTGTTCTTCATTCAACAACACAAAACTTAAAAAATGATGAAACTTCCCAAGAGATCTAAAACATAAGTGTCTGTAAAATCTAAGAAAAATCAAGTATTATAATTTCTTCAGATCAAAAGTATTTACTGAAATTTGTTTAAAACAGGAATTAATTATTCATCAATACATGCACACACTTCCATATACGTATCCCTGTTCGTGGAATATAGCAGGTTCAATAAATTATGTTACATGAATTCAAAACACAAATTTAAGGCAATTCCATTTTAGACATACCAAAATGTGAAGACACCTTCACTTCCAAAACTTTCATGATCTCGAAGAATATCTTTCCAGTAACTATCTAAAAGTGTCAAATCTTGTCCCACTGACATTTTAAATGAATGTTCAATTAAATCCCCTTTTAAATCTATTTTTTAAAACCATTTGGCAGTTCTTCAGATGAGCTGTCATACCTAGTAAATCTGCTCCTTCATCCACATCTCCAATTAGGCCTGAGCCAGCTGAAGACAGTTCTTCAAAGAGAGATTCGGTATTGCGATCAAAAGCTTTGTTCTCTATGCCTTTGGTAGGAGTGCTATGTGACAAAACAATAAAGCCATATCAACAAATTACAAAGACTTGTTTGACAGTAAAATTAATAAGTAGGCTGAGTTACATAGGCCTTTTAACTGTAAATTGCATTTAAAACAAAATATAAGTATTATTTCTCAAAGAGTCCATAAGAAATTCCTACTAAACTCCACAGAATGACTGGTGAAGAAAATACATGTTTGTTGTGAAACCTCAGTAAATACGAATAAACGGCAGCTAGCATAGAGCCGTAGTCTGCACTGCATCAGGCATGAACCCAGTGCTTTCACCAATTGCCTAACTCAATCCTCACACTTATAGTTGTTGTTGGTTTGTGTCATTAAAGTCAGTTCCAACTCAAAGCGACCCTGGATAGGGTTTCCGAGGCTATACATTTTCATGGGAGCAGAAAGCCTCATCTTTTCTCCCACAAAATGGCTGATGGTCTCAAACCACTGATCCTGTGGTTAGCAGCTAGTCTAACCTTAACCTAGCAGTCTAGTCTAGTTAACTTATCCTACAGAGCCACCAGCACTCCCACAACTATAGTTGTTGTTGTTAAGGGACATCAAGTTGGTTCCAACTCGTAGTGACCCTGTATACAGGGTTTCTGAGACGGTAAGTCTTGGAGGGGACAGAAAGTGTTTCTGCACATTCCTGTTAATTAGTTAGTTCCTGGGTTAAAGAACTATAGCAGTAGTTGTGAGGACTGACTGGATAAGGCAATCTATATAAAGTAGATTAGGAGGGGCTGTACAAGTGTTTCTGTTCAGGGTGATTAAACAGTTTGGAAAATAAATAGTGGTGATGGCTGCACAACATTGTAAATATAATTAATGCCACTGAATTGTACCCATAAACATGGTCGCAACGGCAAATGTTATGTTCTATATATTTTACCACAATAAACATAAGTTAAAAGGCAATAGAGGCCCTAGAGCCAACCCTTTGGGATGGGAGGACTTCATTCTCCATCAGTGATGGTGGTGCCGTTGAGTTGGTTCAGACTCACAGCAGCCCTGTATAGGGTTTCCCTGGAGCTGCTGGTAGTTTTGAACCACCGACCTTGTGGTTAGCAGTCTAGTGCTTGCCCTACAGCGCCACACCAGGACTCCTGAACAGTGGTAGCTAAGTGACAAGAGACTGCTGAGTCAATGTTGTTTATTTAAATATGAGCAAAACATCTACTCAGCAGCAGACACTGAAAGAAGGCCTCTTTAATAAAAGAATCCAGAACAAACAGAGTGGAGGAGAGGCACTCAGAGCAAAAGGACACGATGTTGGCAGTAAATGAAAACCAGAAAGAAGGAAAGAAAAAAATCCCCAAATTACTTTTGTCAGAAAAAATGTTACATCTATACAGATGTTATAAAAAGTAAGGGAGCGCAGTGGTCCATAAGGCAAGCACTGGACTGTAAGCCACAGTGTTGGTGGTTTAAGTCTACCAGGTGATCCATGGAGACAGATGAGGCTTTCGACTCCCACAAAAGACTTAACGCCTCAGAAACCCCTATACGCAATCACAATGAGTCAGAACTGACTCAACAACATCAATAATAAAAAAGTAGCCATCCAGAAAAAGAAAAAAAAATTTACATACAAAAATGAAGTTGAAAGATAAAACTGAAGGAAACAAAACAAAAATAGGATCTGGAAAACAGGAAAGAAAAGAAAATTTGAGGATTTGACTGGAAGGTTTAATGTCAACCTAAGAGGTGTTCCCAAAGAGAGTAGAAAAACAAAAAATGAGAATAGAAGTTTTCTCAGCACTGGGAGACATGAATTTCCAGTTGAAAGAATTTACTACATACAAGAAGATGCAATGAATAAAAAACTTTAAAGGGAAATACATCATCATGAAGTTAAAAGAAAATAAGATAAACAGCAGGTTTAAAGAGACGATCCTAAAAACTTCCTGACAGAATATATGAAGACGCAAGAGTACAAATGATATCACACTGAACTCAACATGACAGAATTCCTAGTGAAAGCACTTTCCAACCCAGAATTCTGTACGTAGCCTAATCATGTCTTCAAATAACATGTGTCATAGTCATGTTCTCAAAAATGTACTTCCCATGCAGTCTTTGCCCAGGAAACTAGTGATGAATATGTTCTGTCAAAACAAAAGCATAAATCAAGAAATAGGATGACAAGGGGATCCAGGAAAACAGGATGCTAATGAGGGCAAATCCCAAGACTATACATGACAACAGTCTAAACTGGACAAGATAATACAAAGGGCCCAGTAGAGAGAGAGTTCTAAGAAACTAACAGGTTTTGGGTTTGCCCATACTTACACAGTACCTGTCTAATAGGTATATAGAAACTTGAGCAAAAGAAGACAGACTCCCACCATAACACAACAACAATAACAAAAACCCCAAGGTTTTATTAATTCTAGTAAAATAATTAAGTTGTAAAAGAAAGAAAATACAGTCATAGTATATTATTCTATAGCTAAACTGTGATTAATATGCATATAGTCATCATGATATAAACAGTGAATACTAATTTAATACTAAGTTAAGAAAAAATTGAGGTATAATTACATTGGGAGGAAGGAAGGCAGAATGGTCATTGTCTTTCACTACAGAAATTCAACAAAAGCTACTGTTAACAGTCACTCTCAATCACAGTTCCTCATCTGATCCACAGGATACAGAAAATTATGAGGATAACAATAATTATTGCGGTTAACTGCCGTCAAGTTGGTGCCAACTCATAACAACCATGTACAGCAACCACTGACCTTGCAGTTCAAACAGCGCCACACCAGGACAATAATAGCTAGCACTTTACTGAACCATGCATTTTGTCAATGATTTAACATATACAGATTCACTTATCTTCACAACCACTGTGGCATATTAACATGAAGAAGAAGCTTATGTTAAGTTTCAAATCTGAGCCAGGATTTGGACCCAAATGGTGTGGCGCAGTAGGTTAATGCAAAGCTGATTTGGACTGCAAGGTTGGCAGTTCAAGCTTACCAGTCGCTCCTCTGAAACCCTATACAGGGTCGCTGTGGGCCGGAACCAACTCGACAGTATTTAACAACAGTGTAACTCTCGAGCCCATGTTACAACACCTTCACACAATGAACACTATGTAGCAGTAATCAATAAACGGTATGTTTTCTTACAGTCATGAAGATAGAGAACCATTTTTTTCCCCACCATTAAACAAGTCTCCCACAGACAATGAGACTAGTAATGAGATCACTTTCTAAGTGGAGTAGGAACAAGTTTGTTCACATTGCTGCTCCTCTCACTTCTACTCCTTTTGTTTCCTCAAGGTTACGGAAAGTAGGGGCTACCTCTTGATGCTTATTTTGCCCCATTCTTCTATTTGCTCCTGCTGATCCCTAATGCAGCAAATAGTAATAGATATTAACATTTCTTCAATTGAATCCATTTTGTTCAATCAGAAACCAGAGAACAGGGTGCTTATGGGAGTGGGGAAAGGAAAGAGAAGATGCCTTAATCTGTTATTTCTGGTACCTTGAGCCTTTATATCCACTGAGATCTTTATCCATATCCAACTCAGGAGTGGAATCAATGATTGCTTGAACTTCTGACTTCTCTTCATTTTCAGCAGAGCCTTAGGAAAAAGCAAGATGACACAAACAATGCATATGTCACAGACAGTGAGTACCTCCATATGAAAATCCTGTTGCTTCTGTCCTTGTGAAGAATAAATTCTAGGAAACCCAGGCTTAGACAACATGTCATATATTCAGTTAAAAGTAACTATTAAAAACTAGTAAGTAACCAAAGAACGTTATTGTTCATGCCTCTTAGGACACACAGTGCAGTGTATCCTAAGCCAGAACTCCCTGCTTTCATTCCGACTTAAGGGGTGGAATATACAACAAAGACTAACGCTCTAAAAAAGGCAGGGGAGAGACAGGACTGGTCTCCCTGCATTTCAGACTCTCCATGCTCTTCCATCCAACAGTCTTCTTCTCTGAAACTTGGTTTCATCATCTTTTTTCTTTCTTTTAATGATTGTGTATAAAAATTTTTTAGCTTATATACAAATATATGAGTTGAATGAGTCATCTACCCATTTTGTAAAGCAAAGAACACTTCCCTTGCCCAAATATTTCCTGAGGCCCACATCATTTGGGTTAAGTGACTACTTGGTTAGAAAATAAAGAACTAGGGTGACTTACCAGTTGATACATTTCTAGTTTCTTGGGCTACTTGTACTTCAATATGCTTGCTTATCTCAGACTTAGTTGGGGTATCTGCAGCCTTCACAAATCCTTCGTTTTCCTCCTTTAAGGGACTATCAATAGGAATAGCTGCCACATCTGACGCAGCTGTGGAGGCTGGAGTGGTAGCTTTAGATCCTCCTTGGCTAACATCAGAAAGTTCATCCTACACATAAAAATAATGGAGAGATATTTAAATGGGTAATTTATTATAGGCCTCTTTACAAATGGGTTAAGAAATAAACTTGCTCAAAGTTAGTTCTATGTATAAATAAGTAAAGACACCAGTCACTAATTACCAAAGGAAACCAAAACATAATCTCCGCAGACTATTTTCAAATAATTGGGAAGCAGATATTTAAGTAGAGCATCATTTTCCAGGCATACATGAGGTTCTTCTAAACATAAAATACTAAAAAAGGAGACTGGAAGTATCAGCAATAGAATTATATATTAATACCAACATCAGAGTTCCAATGACAGTTATAATAATGTGCAAGCATTTGATAATAAAAACAGACTTTACAACACTTAGATCCTGTTACTATGTAATTGTTGCTAAATGCTATCAAGTTGGTTCCGACTAAGTGGCGGCCCTGCATAGTTGTTTCTGAGGAACAACTGATGAATTTGAACAATCGACCTTGTGGTTCAGACCTACCTTGAAGTCCAGTGCTTATCCTACAACAACACACCAGGACTCCATATAATAGCTGCTGTGAGACTCCAACTGAATAGTCAGATTCTTAATCTCAGGAGAGAACTTTGCAAAGTGTGGCCCTAAAACACTGCACTCAAAATTATTTGAAATGCTTGTTGAAAGGGCAGAGTCAAAGTCCAACCTCATAACTGTGGGCAGTGACATCTGCACTGTACATGCTCGTCTGCCTCAGGGAGCACATCAAAATCTGATAACTACAATTCTGGGGTCTACAGAAACACAACACATTCTTTAGAATCTTTGTTTTGATGAATAATCTATGAAAACAATAAAAGTGGTACGATTTTGTTTATCAACCTGCTTAACTCATATTTATACTGTCAATATACAATCTTTAAAAGTTAAGACTATAAAACACACCTAAAAATTAACATAAAATAAATAGCTCAGTTCCTGGTAAGCAGTGTTAATGACTAGTACTTAAACCCACTGCAGTGTAGAGGATAAATTCAGTTGATTCTTCTACCCCATAATTGTTTAACTCCCAACAAACATCTTTTTGTTGATAGGTCTGGGTAAGAAAAGATGGGAGAAGATACTGACTGGATGCTATGATTCAATTATGATTGTTAACAGAGTTACCTGTGATTGCAAAAACAAGAATGAAAATCTAACATGCGTTTAAAATGAGTCATCTCAGAAGCAGGAGGAGGAATCTCTTCCATCAAGTACGAAAAGCCAGGAGTGAAGTGTGCCCTTTGGACCCCAAGATCTCTGTGCACCGAACTTCCTTGACCCAGGGGACAGGAAACTGTGACATCGGGGCAGTGGCGGGGGGAGCAGCAGCAGCAGCGCAGCAAGAGCCAGCACACCAGCCAGAACAGTGGCTTCCAGTACACGGAGCAAGGAAAGCCAAGTGCCCCTGGGCAGGAGGCTCACTTGTGGAATGGGATGCCTCCTAGCACTTCACTGGAGAGCTAGGTTTGTTGACCCACAGAGCTAGAGCTGAGTGCCTTGGAGCTGAGGCTTATAAGGAAGTGGAGTGCCCTCTAGCCATTTATCAGCAGCCTGAAAGACCTTTATGATATTGTAAAGCAGGACAGAGGCCTGGTCAAGGGGCCTAGGGTCAGAAAGAGGCCTGCATGTGGGCACAGTTGAGGAGAGGCTGTCCTGACAGGAAGAACTGTGCCCTGCAGTGTAACTTGTTGGGTGCTTCTCTAATAACCTCCATAATTGAGAGTATGGCATCTGAGTTCTGTGTCTCCAGCAGAGTAGAGAAGGCTGTGTGAGGGATGGCAGGGGCCACAGTTTTTATACCCAACAAGACTGGAGATGTAGAAAGGCACCCAAGCCAGCAAGCTCCTCTACATTTACCACAAAGAATTATCATTGACCTATTTGAAAAATAATCTGAGGTTTATTTTGTACTTGCCATTTACATTTCCTGGTGTGGTGCTGTGGGTTAATTTACATTTCCTGGTGTGGTGCTGTGGACTACAAGGTCAGTTTGAATTGCAAGGTCGGAAGTTCAAGCTCACCAGTCGCCCCTCAGAAACCCTATACAGGGTTGCCATGAGTCAGAATCAACTTGATGGCACTTAAAAACAACAACATTTACCTTTCAAATAAAAGTCAAGAGTAGTGAAAGCATTTCCTCTTCTTTATCATAACACACCACACAAAAGTTGTTATTTTCACTTTAAAAAACAACAAAACACCTGATATCCTCGAAAAGAAATCACAACACAACAACTTAGCAAAAGTCTACCACCCTCCCCTCAATTCATTTGTCAATTTGGGAGTGTGAAATATAACCAAGAGACAGCTCAATCGAAAACTGCAAAAAGACTGTGACACGCTAGGACTCCTAGGTGTAGGGCTAAAAGGAAGAGGTAAATTAGGGTCTATGATGGATGTTTTAAATTTGTCCTAAGTTATTCACATAACATGAGATTTATTTATCTGTAACTTACTTCCCTTTTATGCTTTTACCACATGAAAATATTTTATACTGTTTAAAATAGCTCACTGTGTGGGCTGTACTCATGACAACTGGATCCTAAGGATATAGCATGAGAGCTGATGAGAGAAAAGTTTTAAATTATAGGGGGATGTTTCCCCTAGACAATAGTGGCATAAAGCTCCTGAGATTAGCAGAAAAGTGCTCCAAGAAGAAGTCCTTACTACAGCATTTACCAGAGGGGTATCATATCCTGGCACTGAATCTCCAATGGAGAAATGTATGAAATTCAGTCACTAATAACAACAACTCCAAGTAAAGATAAAAGAAAGAGAAGCCTAGGTATCAAACTGTTCAAAGATGAAATATATGAGGGGCTTCAAAAAGTTCATGGAAAATGGAATGAAAAAATAATGGAATTTTTCTATGAGCTTTTTGAAGCTCCTGCATATTACTTGGACCAAGAATAACCTTTTAGTATGTGCAAAACAAGGGAAAATTCTTACTAGAAACTAAATGAAAAGTGGAAGCAATTATATGAATTGTTGTTGTTGTCATGTGCCGTGGAGTTGGTTCCGACTCATAGCGACCCTGTACAGGTTTCTGAGGCTGTAAATCTTTATGGAAGCAGAAAGCCTCATCTTTCTCCCGCGGAACAGCGGGTAGTTTCACACTGCTGACCTTGCGTTTCACAGCCCGATTCGTAACCACTACGCTACCAGAGAATTATTCAATATAAAGTTTCATGGGAGGAGTTACATGCCCTTATTCCATATTCAAAGTGAGTTTCTTGAGACCTCCAATTCCTATTTTATTTTATAGATCTTAAATGCCACCTGCCAGGTTGTGCTGTCTTGGCTAATAGACTTGGTTGCAAATGCTGCTTTATTTCTCTGAAGACCCATCTATTCCTGTTGTCTGATATTATTAAGATCAAAAACATCCATGAGTGCCAACATGGCAATGTAAATATTATGCTGTCAAGTTTTCTTTGCTGCCAAACTTACTGACTTTATAATTCCCCTCAGAATTTTTCAGAAACGATCACTACAGAACGTCCACAGAAAGCAAGGGCCAGGTTTGGCGTTACAATGCTATCTCTAATGACACAAGAATAGCATTCCCAGGCACGTGTTGAACTGTGCACTGAGAAAATGGGTGCCTTACTTTAGCTTCATTTGGAACATCATGAATGAAAACAATCTGCTCTGTGTGCCATTTTCCTACCGGCTGAGATATCAGGTTGTAGATATCCCTCCAGACAGATGAAGTCTGGAAGATCAGTTCCGAATCTATTAAGATTTTCAAAATATTGTCATCAAATGCATCATGTGCTCACTGCTGTTGTGCAGAATGAATATGCCATGTGTTATCTGGCATTGTCTCATAGTTATTTATTTTTTAATAGACTATTAACTATGTACATAACTATACAAAATAAATTACCTTAGAAATGTTCCAATATACATACTGCTTTCTGAGTACCCTGGCTTCGCCTGTCTTGTGGATTGAATTGCGTCCCCCTAAAGAAGATATGTCAGGAGGGGTCCCTGGAGAAGGATATCATGTTTCATAAGGTGAAGGGTCAGAGAAAAAGCGGAAGACCCCCAACGAGATGGACTGGAAAAGTGGCAGCATCAATGGACACAAGTGTGGTAACGATAGTGAGGTTGGCCCAGGATCGGGCAGTGTTTCCTTCTGCTGTGCATAAGGTCGCTATGAGTCGGTACTGACTCAATGTCACCTAACAATAACAACAAACAAAAGAAGATATGCTGATGTCCTAATCCCTTTACCCTCTTTCAAAATAGGATCTTTGAAGATGTTATCAGGTAGGTTAGCATTAGGTCATACTGGAGTAGTATGAGTCCTAATTCTATGTGACTGGTGTCCTTACAAAAGATACAGACTCAAGGAGACAGGAGAAGGATGCCATGTGATGCTGCAGCTGCAACCCAAGGGACTCCTGGTGTTACCAGAAGTGGAGAAAGGCCTAGAACAGATTCTTCCCTCAGCGCCTCAGAAGGAATCAGCAGCACAGCTGCCATGTGACCGGACTCCCAGCCTCCAGAACAGATAGCCTTCAGTTGGTGGTATTTGCAGTCCTAGGAAAATGAGTAAAATCTGAAACAAGTGAAATAAAGGGGAAAGCAACTTTGATACATGAACTTACCATTTAGAATCAAACATTTTAAGCCTAATAAATTAAACATAATTACTAACAGGTAACTATCCTAATGGAGATACTGTTGCCATAATATTGTAATTTTTTTTGTTTACATTTTTCTCTCCCCAACTAAAAGTGCCTAAATCAAAGCACACTAGTTTTCTTACACAGTTTATATTTCCCTTTCTGATTTTAAAATGCTTACTCTTTGGAGAAAATTATAAGCTATAGTAAAGGCCTGCCAAACACTATAAAGGAAATCATTTTCGTCAAATAACACTGAGTATTTGTTATCTTGAGAATAACAGCTGAGGAAATAACCAATAGTGAAATAATTTTCGTTTACTTTTTTCAAATTTTGAAATAACATTCTCAGTT